CCTTTCTAAGCTGAATGAAAGCACAGAAAGAGGCACTTTTACTTAGAGAGCACATACCTGGTTTTCGGTTGTTTAGAACATTTGATTATATATGTTTAAAGCGAGCAGTTTTTAATCTGCTTCAAAGTTGCTGCAAAGTGCATGTCTGTTGCCTTAAAGGAACATTTGTATTACATTTGTGACCTGATATTTCCCAGAGTATGCCTAAGCCAACACCTAGTGTCCTCACTCTGCTTTCCTCTGCCTCCATTAGCTTCTGATTTTTACTTTGGAAATGGACGTGAGTTTAGAGCAACAGAGAAGATACCTGCCACCACATCAGAACCATCTGAAGGTAGGTTAAATATATCTTCTGCCACCACAAAATCAGCCCATTTCTCTATCCTGGGTTTATAATACAGATAATAATGAATTATTGTGATTCTAATTTTGTTTTTGCAGGAATGCTGCGACTGGTGGGAGGCCAGCACCGGTGTGAGGGTCGCATAGAGATTTACTCAAATTCTGAATGGGGCACAGTGTGCGATGATGCTTGGGACATCCCTGACGCTCAGGTTGTATGTCGCCATGTGGGCTGTGGGGAAGCCACAGCTGCTCGGGGAGAAGCTTTTTTCGGGCCCGGCACAGGAAAGATTCTGCTGGACAATCTCAAGTGCAGCGGTGAGGAGGAAACCCTGCAGGAGTGCTCCCATATATCCTGGAACGTGCACAACTGTGACCACTCTGAAGATGCTGGCGTCACCTGCTCACTGTCGTGATTTGAGCAGAACCACACTTCCATCTCCACCATGGGTAGGAAGTGGGCGTACTGAACCTGGGACTTGTATACATTATGTAAATAACAGCTTTCACAATGCTGAAGGAGTACTCCACCACCAACCACATACAAAAAAACTGATATGACAATATATGATGACATACTATAAACTATATATGCCTATTAAGCACTTTATAAATAAATATATGATATAAAAAACAATGTACACAGTTTTTTTTTTGAGAAACCCAAAATGTAATGTACATGTGATTATTTGTTAAGTTAGGTAAGGAATACTGGAGGAAGTGCAGTTTGGATGATGAGACACATGGGCTTCAGCTCCAATCTTTTTGCAAATATGTATGATATACCAAACAGAAACCTAAATGGAACAAATGATATTCGACATACCACAACATTGCAAGATAACAGACACTTACATAAATAAAGGTGTTGTATCTTGTGAAATGCATCATATATATATATATATGTGAAACTTGTGTTATGTTAACCCAAATATGAATAAATGTAACTACATGTGGTAAAATACATGTTCTTATTTGTTGGTATTTAATATATTTTTGAACTAAAAACAGAGGTCTTTGAACCGTTATCTGCATTTGTCATTGCCTCAACATTTACTTCCATTGTGTATTCTTCTTTAACTGCGCACACAAATATGACAATACCACCATTTAAATGTTTTCAAGGGAAAGGATTTTTGGGGATGCTAAATGCAATGCAATGAGCTCAAACGAAATAAGAAATGTTTTATATAAATAACTAAAGCTAGTTGAATCACCCAATTTGGACGAAAGAATACTAACAGTGCAAACTCTGTGGCCACGTGTAATAATAACAACAGTGCGTAGCTAACCCATCTAACTCTGGCCACATGTAATAATATTATAACAGTGCGTAGCTAACCCATCTAACTCTGTGGCCACATGTAAAAATAACAATGCGTAGCTAACCTAGCTAACTCTGTGGCCACATGTAATAATAACAGTGCGTAGCTAACCCATCTAACTCTGTGGCCACATGTAATAATAACAGTGTAATAGTGACAACAGTAGGCCTACAGAATGAAGTCAGCAAATTGACTCCGAAGTGCGACAACGGTATTGCTGAAAAGTTAGCTTACACTGGCCACAGAGAACTAATAGACTGACCAGGTATGCTAAAGTTAATTAAATAAACTATTTATTAATAATAATTCCTAAGGGGAAAGCTGTAATTTCTCACTTTAATCTTTAAATGCTCTCTATAATAAAACAAATCTAACAGTAAAATGTGTGAATACCTCCCTTTAATGCCATAACATTGTTAAAAATGTGGCTATATAATTATTCTAATTGCTTATTCTGAGTAATCACAGTCAGAATGATCTGAGAGCATATTAAATGTACAATTCCTTTTTAATATAGATTCAGTTTATCTACATAGATTCAGTTTATCTACATACTGTAGGAATTGAACAACTCTAAAATGTTACCAAATTTTAGTTTTGACTATCATAGCTTCAGTTCGAGACATTCATAAGAACATACAAATATATATATAAATTACCTGTAGTTAGACATTTGTATACACTTTGATTACAAAAGTAACTTTGGTCTTATTAGTGAATTGAAGAAAAGTTCAATTAATTCTTAAACAAAATATCGTTAGATACAATATTTTAAGATGCCATTTTGCCTCAGCAATAAATATATATGTTTACACCTAAAAGGAATTGGGTAAACAGAGAAGGAGCTAAAAGGATTTTTCATCGACAGTTTGTTCTGATAACTACAGAGAAAATGACTCACATTTTATGAGCCTGCTTCATAACTATAATCACTACACTCACCCAAAATGGCATATTCATGGTTACAAGGTGGTTTTACAAATAATTTAAACTGCATGAGAAAAAACGAAATACTATTTTAATATTCTTAAAGTAAAAGTTAAATTGATCTGTGAAATAAAAAACGAATCCAATCCAATCCAATCCATTTTATTTATATAGCACATTTAAAAACAACAGAGTTGAACAAAGTGCTGTACATCAACAACACAAAAACATAGCAAAAATACATAAAAACAGACAGGACATGAAACAAATGTAATACGAGACAATGAAACCAGATCAGAAGCCACCGACTGAAAAAACTCTCCTATATGACGTAAAAACAATACAAAACACTAGTAAGGTAAAAAATAAATAAATAAAAACCACATTTTACAGCACAAGTGTCACCTGGTCAGTACAGTAAAAGCCAAGGAAAATAAGTGGATTTTTAAGCGAGATTTAAAAACAGGCAGAGTTGGAGCAAGTCTAACCTGGAGGGGTAATTTGTTCCATAACTTTGGAGCTGCAACAGCAAAGGCTCTGTCTCCCCGCTGCTTTAGCCTCGATTTTGGGACTACCAGAAGGAGTCTGTCAGCAGACCTCAGTGACGGTGTGGGTGTGTATGGTTTTAAAAGATCTGCCAGGTACGGTGGGGCTAAACCGTTCAGGGCCTTGTATGCGAACAGCAACATTTTAAACTGTATTCTAAAATGGACTGGTAGCCAGTGTAAAGAGGCGAGTACAGGAGTAATATGTTCACGCCTGCCTGTCCTTGTAAGGAGGCGTGCAGCAGCATTCTGGACTAGCTGTAGGCGTGACAGGGAAGCCTTGGTCACTCCAATATAAAGAGCATTGCAGTAATCCAGTTTAGTGGATATAAAACAATGTATTATCTTCTCAAAGTCATTAAAAGAAAGGAAAGGCTTGACCTTTGCTAAAAGTCTTAGCTGAAAGAAGCTGGATTTGACCACAGAGTTAATCTGTTTGTCTAGTTTAAAATCATGATCAATCCGTACTCCCAGGTTTGTGACAATGGGTTTCACATATGGGACAAGAGAATCCAGCCCAGGCGGGGCATTGGGGCCACCACTGGGTCCAAATATTATGACCTCTGTCTTTTTTTCATTGAATTTTAAAAAGTTCAAGGCCATCCAGGCTCTGATGTCCTGCAGACAGTCAGACAGGTGTTGCTGAGGGTTTGGGTCATTTATTTTCAGGAGCATGTAGATTTGCGAGTCATCTGCATAAAAATGAAATTAGACACCATATTTCTTAATGATAGCGCCCAGGGGGAGCAGGTACAGGGAAAATAAAATCGGCCCAAGAATGGAGCCTTGGGGTACCCCGTATGTGAGAGGAGCAGAGGAGGAAGTAAATTCATTAAGATTTACATTAAAACTTCTTTCAGACAGATACGACTTAAACCAGTCTAGAGCAGTACCAATCGTTGTAGAAGTTCTTCTTTAATTGATAATTTGCCTGCCCCTTTGTTTTTCCTCTGCCAAGCAACAACGTTGCAGTGATGTCAAACACAAGATATGAAATGCTCTGTGGTCACAGGTGTGTCTCTTCTTTATCAGCTACACAGGTGACTCAGTCAATAAGACACAAGGACAATATGTTTCCTTGACTCTAATAATTAATATAGAAATAATACATAAAACGTGTTTTATTTGAATCTCTGTTCATCAATGTTTTCTTTAAGACAGGTACACAGTCTATCTTGAAGTTACCTTACTCTAAAATACATTAAATGTGTACCATTGTCCATTAGTCATATATCTACTGTTTATGATATCTTACCTGTTTTAACTCAAGACTGATTTAATTAAGCCGTTAAGTAGTCAGGATGAGATTAGTTCAGTTTTTATGGTATTTGTTTAGTTTTAAGTGTTGGAGTGTAAATGTAAATGTTTCTGTATTAAACAAACTCTCTCCGATTAGTAATAGTATATTGTAAATACTTTGTGTTAAGTGTCAGGCTCCTTTGGATAGTTTATTGGGGTATCCCATTGCACAAACCTCTATTATGTTTTGTATTTGAAATCAAGTTTGTTTACAAATGAATTGTTTCATGTCAGTTGGTATTGTACTTGACTAGATGAGCATATTCTTCAAGTCAAAGCTTGGCATTATGAGCCGGCGATGGGGCTCTGGGGCTCTGGGGCCCAGTGCATTTGCCCTGATAGTAGTCAAGTCACTGCAGGCCTACTTGGAAAGTTTGATAACGCCATGCACTACAGTACAAGTCAACCCTATATCAATCAAACCTCATTTTACTTGCATATGTGTGCAGTGTAAACCCTACATTGCCTGGCTTTAGGGCAATAGGCTGTGCTATCATTTCCCCTGGACTGCCAGGCTCGTTACATCACTCCGTTAAGACACGCCTTTTTGGGTGGTGACAAAACCGAGGGAAAGTACTCAGAGGGGAGGGGTGTCCCGTCGGCAGGCACACAGACAGCAGGCAGCAGCTGCAGCGAGAAGGACCCGGTACCCGTTTCTCTGCATTAAAACATTCATATTAACGATCTTTACTTCCGAAACACATAGGACAGCAAACACACACCATATCTAAAATGGTAGACCGCGAGCAACTGGTGCAGAAAGCCAGGCTGGCCGAGCAGGCGGAGAGGTATGATGATATGGCAGCTGCCATGAAATCGGTAAGTGGGCTTCCTATGTAATGACATTTTCTCTTAAAAAATATGTTTATTATTAGCTTCATCAATATGTGTTTGCATTTGTTAGAGGTGTGTAAAAGCTTGCTAACCTAGCATTAGGGCAGCAGACAAGGGGCTATGCCTCTGTGTTCGAGCACATTTTGACCCTAAAGCGAATAAGACACGCAATATGGTGTATGAAAGTTATGATTAAAGATTACGTTTATGGCTTGGACATAATTGTGGGCAGGAAAAAGTAGTGCCAAAATACGATTTGGGCAACATATATTTAAAGGCCCGTAAAGCCTGTGCTCATATTATCAGCCTTCTCCGCACATTTCTGGTATTAGAGAGACCATGTCGATATGATAAGGTGAAATTGGAATAACTAATATGCTGTAAATCAAAGGCTTTTATTGGCGGTGTAATGCGGTGGATTGTGGATGAAGTGCGGTCTGTTTGATCTTGGGGCGGTGCCTTTGACCAGGCTCCTTTAAAAAACGGCCAGACAGCTCGGTTGTAAAAGAACCGGGGGGGAAAATATCACACAAATATCGATAATACGTGATTTGATCGTATTTTGGGGCCAAACGTGGGCTTTTACGATAAATAATATCAAAATTAGTGCGTCGGAAGGTGCGCATAGTGGCGGAACAGAGGACGAGCTAGGTGGTACCATGAGGATGAGAATGACATCGTAGGCTGATGGTCGCGTTCCGGTTTGCACGAGGAATAACGGGCCATTGGTTTAATATGAAATACCACTTTTACTTAGCTTGATATGGACTACTATCAGACAGTGTCCTTCTTTTGACACTCATTTGGTGCATTGAAAGCAATGTTGGCTGAAGGTTGATGGCAATCGATTTGCGCAGAAGCAGCGCACAAAATACGAAGCGTCCACCTTCCAGACGTGGGTGTTGGTGGACGGACATCATTCCAGAAAGCTATCTAGGTGTCATATTGCAGCAAATGGTCGTTTTTCTGTGAGCTTACTTTAGCATGATGGGCTGCTTGGCATTAATCAATGCTGTGTAGCAACCCGCATCCCTGCGTCCTCAACCTCTTGCAGCAGGTTCCCACACAGAGGCGTGCCGCATCATCTGCCAAGATGCAGCACAGGCCCGTCCGTAGTGCACCATTTCACAGGCAGCGTTTATCACAAAGGCTGCATCTCTCTATATCAGTGTGTGTGTGTGTGTGTGTGTGTGTGTGTGTGTGTGTGTGTGTGTCGACTAGAGTAATGTTATTACATTATGTGACCAGCCCTACTCTTCTTTATTAAAAAGAATGACCATTATATCTTCGTAAACTTAATTGTGTTTGAACTTAGTAACAGTGATATTACAAGACTTGTATGCCTTTATATTCAATATTGTTGGTCAATATATATCTGATTCCCAAATATTAAGACAGTAGAAGTTTACTTTCAATAAGTTCTATGTAGCAGTATCCTCAGCATGAAAGTCCAAGCTGTACAGGGCAGTGGTTGCGTTTAATAAAAGAGAAAGCAAGATTAGTGGAACTTTCTTCGACATCAGCTTCAACTCCCAGGAGTCAACAAGTAAGCTGTCACCACGTTTAAAGTAAAGGCCACGCTCCGCTCTCTAGGACCAGGCAGTAGTGGGTATTAATGCCGAAGGGGTGGGGGGGGCTGGGCTCCACCCCTTCAGATTTATGCCGAGTCAGAGAGAGAGCTGCCCCTCACCCAGCCAGTGTCTCTGCAGCACTGGGCACGGGGTGTGTCTGCCTGCCTCGCCCATCATTTGAAGGGAATCCCTTGCCACTGCAGACATGGTAACTGCCCCGCCCCGGTGGCAACGGAACCAAATAATCAGGATTACAGAACACAGCACTGCACCCATCCAATTGAGAATCAGGAACCAGACCCAGCCAAAAAATAACTGTAATGTTCATGCACCACAGCCTTTATAAGACTATAGTAATGTAGATATCATGTCTCACAATCAGAATGAGTTAAATCCACGGTTATTCTCATTGTGTGAGGCATTCATTCATTATTTGGGAGCCGGAAAAAAAGCAAGGATTTAGTCTCTGTTTCAACTGTAATTTAGACACAGGTTCTACAAAAATGTGTAATTATCTGTCCTCCAATGTCTTTCCAAATAACATTTTGTAGGGTATTTTTGAGAGTAGCCTTTGTTTCTGCTTGTCCTCTTTCTGTCTGTTTTGTGCGGGTATGAGCGATCAGTAACCGATCAGTGATGCAGACCCAGTTGCCTTTGCTTGCGCAAAAAGATTTGGAGCACAGAAACATACAGCCAAGTCATCTCTATAAGTGAATATATTCTACTGATGTGCTCTGAGAAATGCGTGTTGAACCCAGTTCTGACCAATTGAGACCTCTTTTACAAATGAATTCCTCAGAGTCAATGTTCACAGAGACTTCAGTCTGTATATGTAGCTCAATACAAATAACTGCTAAAACACTGTTACAAATGTGCACAGAATTAGGTTACGCAAAGTAACTACGGGTTGGATTTCAGTTAGAGTTCATATATCCTCTGTCTCTCTTTAGCTTTATTAAACTAGACAGGTCATACGTAACTGTTGAATGTAACATTAGCACAAGTCACATTATGTACATGGAAAGATTGGCTCTCATTTGATCCTGATTAAGTTAAGGTTCAGGAAACCATTTTTGATGATGCATGCATTCATTCATCCATTCAGATCAAGACACACAGATAGATTTGACCTATTTCACTCCTTTCGCTTCAAAGCGGTGTTAAAGATCACAGCATTTAGCCTCCAAGATCCCTGAGTAACGGAATGGAATATAAATGTATTCGCTAATTTGTGAATCAGGGTCTTTTCATTTGTCGCAGCTCATTTTGATGACATGCTAAAAGGCTAACTAGGACTAATTTAACCCAGTGACCATAGCCAGTATAATGTGCTGATTTGACACAATTGTTGTAAATGAGCTGTGACACACACACACATACGCTATCACACACACAAACACACACCCTATTGTAGAGCGTCTAAGGAAGTGCATGGCACAGAGCGTCAGGGCTTCCATCACACTTAATGAACTGAATGCATTATTCTGTCATGGAAGTACGTTCAATGTGTTTACAGATGCATTTTGTTGCAGCTGCTCCATACATTAGATGTGTGTCCAATATGAATTGACAATACTATATATAGTATTTGTTGTGTTGGATTAAAAGAAGAACAATTTGAAGACACAAATGTCTGTTTAGCTGTACATTTCAGTGTAAAACAGAATAGCTGATAATCAAACTGCCTTCATTGGAATCATTTTAAGATTTAAAAAACAAAAACATTTATTTGCTAATGTGCTACACTTGTAATGCAGCCTTTAAAACCAGAAAAAGACAAATATATATGGGACGATATCATGTCTCATATGACAATATTGATATATTGCCTACCCATAGCCAGTCCATCGTTATTAGACTTTACTACCCATGATATGCCACAATATACTTAAATAAACCAAACAATATGTTAGTTTCTTAGAAGTTACACTTTAGGTAACACCACCACTGCTACGCTGAGGTCTGACACTGCAGCATTTGATTTGTCTGTTGCTATGGGAAACAACATAAGTTGGAGGAAAAACAGGAACTTGATCCACAATATTCTTCATCCAATGTTATTCTCACTGATTAAATTAAACTCCTTGGGCTACTTGTGTATTATTTTTGCTAGCGGACACATTTTAAATCGAACATAATGCTGCATGTAGGAGTGATTTTTATAGGAGTGGGTGTGAGTAGGATGGTGAAGGTTGATGGGAGAGATATCTTCAACATCAGATAAGATTTATTGTTTGAAATGTAACCGTAATGCAAGTTGTAGAATAAGGTTCTTGAATTGGACACTATGATGAGCCTCATTTTAGATAATGATTGACCAGGAAATTAGCTTCTAGTCACCATTTCCTGTTTTCTGATTGTTCTGCTTCCCCGATTAGGAATTTTCTCCAGGGGGCACTGAAAGCTGCAAAGTTTACCTAATTTATGAAGTATGAACATACTTCATAACCTTATTCCAATTTGAATGAGTTTAGCAAATGTCATTTCAGGACATTTCAGGATGTCCTGAAATGAATGTTGACTCAGTGGTGAGTCATATGGCACTACGAGAAACGCCCACCTTTCCCACCACACAACAGACACTGTAATCACTTTAATTTTACAATGCCTTTCTTACATTTGCATCAAGATATACAAAATTGAACCGAGTTGTATTCCCTACAGCAGTAAGTTATAAGCTTTTAGCATCACTGTGTTAGGATGATGTCTATTTTCTTTTGCTTAGTCAACAAGTGCAGGGACATAAATGCTAGCAGCTTCCTGAATAACATTGACACATCTATCCTGACTTGAAGTTGTAATATAGTACAGAAGAAAGGAGGCAGCTAAAAAAGGAATACATAGAGAGTATTTGTCTGTTCCAGGCACTTAACACATCTCATCAGTGAGCAGTGTGACAACAGTGATGATTGGTTTTAGGATATTTACATTACTTTCATTTGTTGTCTCCAAAAAAAGCCATATTAATTTTTGAAAATTACTCAAAACAATATTTCTCAAACCAAAAAAAAGAGAATGACAACGCTTTTTTAGGTAAAACTGGGTGTGTGGAGCAAATGAGAGCTTTGTTTTATCATCTTAAGCAGTTTTAAGGACGAAGGGCTTTAGAGACTTGAAAACATTTGTAGCTTGCCAAAAAACATGTACTTTATTTTCTTATAATTTTGTTATACATTTGTTGCTTTATTACTTTGGCACAATGACGAGGTTTATTTGTATGGGATTTCATGCCCCTGAATGAGTTTACAGAATTTATTACAGACCTGGAAAGTATGATGCAAGTGATTTCAACAGGGTAGGGATAGCTGGGAGATTACCAACCCTACAAAACGCAAGTGTGAAACATCCGCATGAGTCCCTAAGACCGACTATGACCAAGTATTACTAATGCAATGGCACAATTATCTCAGCACTGTCATCATTCATTTGTATTCGCTTAATGTGACTTATGACTCCTAGTAACTGTATTGCAGGTATCAATTACTAATGCTGTCATACAATTCAATGGTATACAAATAACAGTTATACCTCCTTTCAGAAAAAGGAAGGACAGATTTTACTGTCACTTTTTTGGTCACAACGGTTTCCTGTTTATAATGACAGCAGAGAGCTATAGTAACAGAGATGCTTTACAGGGTTCATTAAAAACCTGGAAAAGTCATGGAAATTCAAAATGCTAATTCCAGGCCCTGAAAAAGTTATGGAAAACAATATTTTTCCCAAAGTTTTGGAAAAGTCATGGAAATGTAACTAAAGTTGCATCAAATATAATTTATATTTGATCTAATCGCCGAAATAGTAATACTATAATGATAATAAATACTGTATTGTATAGTAATGAAATGTAAAATGGCATTTAACTGTCGAGGTATTTTGCTGGTGAGAGATTTTAGTTGCTTTAGCCTGTAGAAACTAGTAAGTCTATTTGATTTGTTTTAGATAGGCACAACATGTTTCAGACCTTATTTTCCTGTTCCATGTTAAAATAAACCATTTTCAGTGGTACCGGCGCTGAGAGAGTAATTTTTTTGGTCACAGAAACAACTAATGTCATATGCATAGCAACAAAGAGCTACTCAAAGCTGCCTCTCCACCACAATTACTACACTCATACACCACCTTGCATCCCCCTTTCTTAGCACCAAGGCTCTATCCCTATTCACACCGCTCGTGGTGTCAGGTAGTCCACAGTGCCATTATGCTCTGCTGCCTAAAAATAGGCTTGGCGGGGGGGGGGGTTGTCACATCAGGTTAGGGGAGCCCGGGGAGTGAAAAATGAGCAATGTATAGACAGAAGCAAAGCCCGGAACTGGAAGAAAAATGGGGAATTAATGGAAATGTAGGGCTGCACACATTGAGGTCTAACCCAAAGTAATATTTGTCAAGCCTTCAGCCCTTTCAGGGTCTCTCCTGAGGTTACTAATGGTCATGCAGAGAGCTGTCAAAAAGGAAGTTATTGATTGTCATGTCTGGCCTTTGTTTGCCTTAACACTAAGTTGTTTGGAAGTCTGACTGCCTTGTGCAAGGATGAGTCACGAGAGCAGGCGCGATTGATGAGCTTTATGGGTAGACAGAGCTCTATTGTCATTGCCTGCACCACAGCTTCCGTCAGGGCTTTCTGCTCACCCAGCAGCCTTCTGAAACAAAGGCATCCATGTTTTTACAGGCGTGTTGTTTAGGCCTTGTTTTTCTGACCTTTCTGTTGCTCCAGCACTGACCTCCTCTGCTTGCTGCTTTTGCTGTAGGTCAGATACTTGTTTACTCTAATTGTAATTTAATGGGCTAAGGCATAGAGCGGTTTGGAGCTGAGGCTGGGATCTAGCAATCACTAATGGGGTGCATGGGGCCTTTTCTGTGCTTGTAAGTGGGATCATTATGCAACAGAGGTCATTTTGTTGTTTGCCTGTCTTCAAACTTCTACAGTACAAAGGTTCTTTTTCATATCAGTTGTATATTTTTACAATGTCTCTTGTAGAAACACTCCTTTACGAACAAGCGCACACACAAGAGGATGCATTGTTCATTACACTGCAATAAAGTAAAGAGCGGGAAGGATGATGTTTGGTTGTTGTGGTAATGCTACATAACAAGACAAAGGCATTTTCAAATTCAAAGGGGTGTATCCTGTAGGAGGCATACAACTCCACCTTTTGGATCAAATAGATTATTTATTTATTTTTAGATCCTGGTTTAGTGTGCATCACTTCAGCTATTTAGCACCTAACAGAAAGAAAGCAGGCAAAGCTGATGCAATGTAGTGTTACAAGCAACCAAAGAATTACAATTCAAATTCAAATCGTTACCTAATGATGGCGCTACAGAAAGGTCAAGGGATCTCTAAAGCCTGTAGATGTTCACCTCTTGGTACTTCATATACTTATAGTTCAGTTCACAGCCATCCATTAAATAGTTATCAAGATATGTCATTCAAATCTGAACGGCAAAAGTTAGGAGATCACCAAAGACATTAGTTGGATTACCAACATTTACAAATGTACCAAACAGTTAAGATATTTCACTCTTGTATGGCTCTCATAAAACAAAGCAGATTTTGCCATTGCCATGGAAACAAGAGATTGCATCACTGGTTGCTCTTTGCCTTCACCTCCCTCTCATTTGCAGGAGTCTCATTAAAGAGGGTGATAACGTCTGTTGATGTGGATGTTTATAAAGACTTGTGTGCTGAGAATGAGTTAATCAGATGAACACATGATTAGTCATAGGTTTGTATCAATAGAGACTGTAGTAACGACTGGAACAGGGATTAGCAGCTACTGTGTGTCATTAGAGTCTAACCAAAGAAGAATGATTCAGCTGTTAGCTCATCATGACTGTGATGCACCTCAGAAGGTCAAAGGTTTAAGCTTTGCTTTCTTTGATCAAGGAAGCTGTGTACACATGCAGCATTACCTCCATAGAAAATAACTCCACCAGCAGGTCATACTTTTCACTTATGAAGTATTTCAAAATCTACTGAACTGATATGATTTAAATTGTATACAGACATTGATGGTTCCCAGACAACAAAGGGCTTTTTAACTTTACATGAGGATGAGATTTGTAGTTATTAACAAAACATTTCTAAAACAAATGGATTGATTGCCATGACATTTGCTTTAGACTTTTGTAACCCCAAAAGAAGAATTGTGAGAAGTTTAGTGAAATCCTAACTTTGTAACATCTGTTCAGAATTTCAGTTTGGAAATTTGGCAATTTGGCAATTTGGCAATGACCAAATATGTTACTTTTCATTCCCATCAGTTCAGTCTTTGTTTTTACTGCTAATTAGCTAATGTTAGCATGATATCACACTAAAATGGCCAACATGGTAAACATTGTTTGCTAAACATGAGCATGTTAACATTGTCATTTTTACCAAATGTTTCTGCGTTTATAATTGCCGAGTTAATATTCTCGTAATACCAACACCAAGTCACACTTGTATTTTAGATTTTCTAAAGGGAACTGTCTTTATTATTGTACTTCTTTTGGGGAGCTTCATAGCTAAAGCAAAGCAGCTTTAAAAAGCTAGCTTAATTTCCTATTTAAATACAAAGGAAATATCAGTTCAATCCCCTCAGTTTATACCCAGGATGTAGTTTTATGTTGACAAATATAATGTTCAGTAAGGGCATTGTGAAGAGCCTTTCCGCCTGATAGGCCGGGGCCCCACGCTTTGCTACGCTTATGGAACTGAATTCTGTACTAAAAAGAAAGTAACAACAGGCTTTATACTCAGAAAAGGTCTGTAAAGATGCCTCTGCTGCACAGCCCCAGTGGGGTATAAAGGATTAAATCCTCCAGCCAGACACAGGCCTGTCAAAACAAAACACAACAAAACCAGCTTTCAGAGCTCTGGACATCCAATCAGCAATCCCCTCAGAGGAGGATGTCGGAGAGCTGGAGGCGGGGTTTGCTCTGCAATGACTGCTGCCTTGGGTGTTGTACAGTTTGCCTGGAGGCAATGCTTTGCTATGCTATGTTGTCCAACAAATTGTGATGGCTACACAGAGGATTAAATAGTTGTTATCCATACTTTATATAATGTTACAGCTTTTAACTGTCCAATTGTCAGGCTGTTCCAAGAGACAAATCGCCACATGTTTGACGAAAAGACAATTGACATAAATACATATGCTAACGCCTGCTTTTATTATTTCTTCAGGTCACAGAACTGAACGAAGCGCTATCCAATGAGGAGAGGAACCTGCTCTCTGTGGCCTATAAGAACGTGGTCGGGGCAAGGCGTTCTTCCTGGCGCGTCATCTCCAGCATTGAGCAGAAAACATCTGCCGACGGCAATGAGAAGAAAATCGAGATGGTGCGGGCCTACCGGGAAAAGATCGAGAAGGAGCTGGAGGCCGTCTGCCAGGACGTGCTCAACCTCCTCGACAACTTCCTGATCAAGAACTGCAACGAGACACAGCATGAGAGCAAAGTGTTCTACCTGAAGATGAAGGGTGACTACTACCGCTACCTGGCCGAGGTGGCCACGGGGGAGAAGAGGGCCGCGGTGGTGGAGTCCTCCGAGAAGTCCTACAGCGAGGCCCACGAGATCAGCAAGGAGCACATGCAGCCCACCCATCCCATCCGCCTGGGCCTGGCTCTCAACTACTCCGTCTTCTACTACGAGATCCAGAACGCCCCGGAGCAGGCGTGCCACCTGGCCAAGACCGCCTTCGATGACGCCATCGCCGAACTGGACACCCTGAACGAGGACTCCTACAAAGACTCCACTCTCATCATGCAGCTGCTACGAGACAACTTGACGCTCTGGACGAGCGACCAGCAGGACGACGAGGGAGGAGAGGGCAACAATTAAAGGGTCCGAAACCTCATTCTGCCAAAACAACACAACAGGCGCGCTCACAAATGATGACAAAATAATAATACTAGTTAAAAAATTCTTAGAAATTAAAAAAGAAACGGAAGTGGGGGGAGGGGGTGTTGGAACATTGGAGGCCACTTTAGCAGATGGTAGTAACGTGGCTTCTGTTCTTTATTTTTCAACAAATAAAAAAAAGTTGGAGGGAAGACAATTTTGGTTTGAGTAATTACCTAGGATTAGATACAAAGAATAAATAAAAGAAGGAAACCCCCTCCTTGGTAGCCTCTGCAGCATTTGCCAAAATACCACTATAGAAGCAGGAGATGTGTCATTCATCGCAGTGTGACTATTGGGTAACGATACCTTCACACTGGCAGAGACTGGTCTTATCGCGCAGATGAAGCTGAGCTGTCTTATTGTATTTGGTGAGCGGAGGAGCATTCAGAAATTCGGTTTCGATGCTTGAGCAACCAGAAAATTAGAGTCACCTCGAATGTAATGGCCTTGCTTAGTGAGAGAGAAAGACAAGGGAGGAAGCGGGTGAGAGAGCAGAAGGGTTGCAGAGATGAAGACTGAGCTTTTTTAGGGGGTGTCCAACTTCATTGTGTAACTTCAAATACGCACCGACATCTTTAGTTGCACCACACTATGATCGTTGAGTGAAAAGCAGGTTGTCTCTGTTGATGAAGATGACATTAAAAAATGTTTTTGTTTTGCTTTGTGTCAGGTATGTGTCCAGCGCAGTCATACTGTAACTAAAAATACAAATTCATGAAGTAGTGCAGCGTGTCCCTCTCATGTGCTGATGTGCTTTATTAAAGAAATTAACTGTTTATCGACACCTAATTCTTCTCGTCAGTATTTTCATACCAACTTCTATCGGCTCCTTGTAGGAAACAGTTCCAGATAGCAAAGTCAGATAAATGGACATTTCAAAAAAGAATGTGGTGATTGAACATTATCATGATTCCATCCTTATTCAAAACACTCAGTATGATCTCTGAAACGGCACCTGAAACTTTTTGTCCACAAAGTATTATTTGTGGACAGAGCACATGCAATGTTAAGTGGAAGCTCTAAAAGCAGATTTGAGGTTTGTGGATTTACTTTGTCTCCAGTTTCTTCTTGGTCAAGAAATGCACTTGCCTATGATACTGTTTCTTCAGTGTAAGATGATAACTGCTCCAATATTCTCCATAATACAATATTTTGCATGCTGGTGATGTATTTATACAGTAGCTTCAATTTATTAACTTATACTGTAGATGTTATGTATTCATATGAACATGGAATTACTAGACCTTAATCAGATTATTTTCTATTTATTTCTTTTTATTGCAATTGTTAGCTAGACCTTATTTTAATCTTTGTTTTCTTTACTCCATTTGCTGAAGTACGCTATACCAAAACAGTGATTGTTAACAATAAATTGATCTGTTAAGGACATGGCTATGGTTACATGCAATTTTTGGTAACGGTGACACAAAATGAAGTAAACATTGACTTGTGAAAGAGGCAGTATGTGTGTTAACTGTGGACACTGGGAGTAAAGCAGCATCATATAGAGTTACAGTCTCAGGTGGTCTGTCAGTGGTTAAACGTCCAGGGCAGTACCAGAATCTAACTACTATAATTCAAATGCAATTGAACAGTAAAACAATACAAACCACACAATTATCTTATATATATATATATTTGTTTTACAACAGACACAATTTAAGTGTAATGTAAGTATGTTATGACTCAACTCAATTCAACTAAAACTGAAAAAATAAAACCAATAGTAAATACTTTCCTTTAGAAATGCACTCTATAACACAAAGTACAAATGCCATGCATTCTATTTAAGTAGAAGTACAGAAGTGTTATTGGCAAAATGCATTTAAGTATCGGTGGTACTTTACATTACAGCTTGGTGGTTATAGATGAAACTAATAATATCGGCGTGTAATAACAAAGAAATGGCTTGCTATTAATAATAGGTATTGGATGGTAATCAATCTAATAGGGTATTGTTGAGTAAAACATGGGAAACAAATTCAAAGATGGCAATTAGGCAAACATATTTACCAGCTTACAACACAATTGTTATATCAGGGCAATATTTTGATAAGGAATATGGGGAAATTAATCATTATAATACCCTCCCAAAAACCATACAAATTTGAAATTGATAATAACAATATCATAATGCTAAAATCATCCCTCCATTAGTTTCCAAATGTTACTTTTTGTTTCAAGGTAAAAATGGTCAAATTTGTGTGCACTAGTCACCGGCTTTGTCTTAAATATCAGGATATATTATCCTTGCAAGAATGGAAGTAGTCATCACATACAGGGCTGCGTGGGACAAATAGTTCCCAGAGTAGAGTCCTTGATATGCTTACAAGAGAGGGTGTTACAGTCAACAAGATTGAAGAATACTGGTTCAAAGCAGTATTCTGACATTAGTTAAGATTAGCTAAGGCCTTCGTAAACAATAAACATGACAATCAGGGGCTGTGTCATCATGCCAATCTTAGGAACATAGCTATCATAACTTCAACACAGTGTCTCATGAGTGTAATCCATGTAGTCATCCGGCTACGTACACAGCTAGGGCCTCTGTTATCATGTGCTACTCTGATATTAGAAGAGTACATTCAGTATTTTCCCAACTAGTCGATCGCGGGGAGATTCCCAGTCGATCGCGAGATGTGTCTAAAAATAGAACAACAATATTCTGTTTTATCGTTAATGTCCTATAAAATAATCTTCCTGTGCCAGAATAATGCACTTGAACGCATCAAAGCTTTGTGATTGGCCGGCATGACCCCATGTGTCGGGGCGTGGCTGGTGGGCAGTGGGCACTATTTCGCTGACGTTGTCCGTGTCCAACCATGGTGTCAACAGGAGTGACAGTCCGCACACACTCAAGACCGCAATTATGGCTGAAGCAAAAAAGCCCAAAATATATAATTTTCACTCCGAGTGGGAGGATGATTATTTTTATATCTATTCCAATTCAAAGTCCATCTGTCTCATCTGCAATGCGAGCGTGGCTTTATCGAAGAAGGGTAATTTAGGAGCGGCATTTCAAAACAGTGCACAAACGCTGCGAGACGGAATTCCCTCCTAATTCTGCCCTACGCTCCCAAAAGGTGAGGGGCCTGAAAGGACAGCTCCATTTTCACCAGGCCCAACAACAAGAGCAAGGCTGCTACCATAGCATCTTATCGTGTCAGTCACGTTCTTGCGAAACACATGAAGTCTTTCAAAGATGGCGAAGTTGTGAAAGAAGCATTCCTGGAGGCTGCCGACGCGCTTTTTGGGGACAGTAAAAATAACAGTAGCATATCAACAGGTTTTTGATATAATAAAAACTCAAGTTAGATACCGTTATTAATCAACTGTAAGTTTGAGTTTGTTTGAACTTATTCATTATAATTATTGTACAAAATGGTATAAGAATGCAAACTTAAATTGATTATAGTCTATTATCAATTCAGGTTAAGAAACGAGTGTTGCTTTCATCCTATTTTAAAAAGGCATTTCTTTTTATACTCTACTAAAATGCAACAAAAAAAGGGTTTGATTATATTATCTTTGTCTCTTTTATTGCACTTTGGCAGCAGATTGCTAGGGCTCAGAACAGTCTCATAATACATGCACACAGGAGGATTCACACTTGTATTTCATGATCCGCAAAAGGATTCACACTTGTATTTCCGGATCCACACTTGTGTTTTTCAATGCACACACAAATGTGTTCCGTTTCATATACATGTTAAATAAAATAAAAACCAATCAGATGTCTCCTCAATTATAAGCCAATCACATGAGCGCGCCCCCACGAGGGTAGATTTCTTGCGTTCATGACGTAGCGCTTCATACACGCATTTTGCGCTGTTGATGAATGCTTGTGTACACAAAAACGGGAGACAAAACCGTTTTAAATGTGTGTTTCCTGTATGGTGAATACAGCTGCTTTATTTATGTCTGTATGAAGCTGTTGTGAGTGTGGAGGGAGCAGCTACAGGTTAGCTTAGCCTAAACGATCAGTGCACTCCGAAGCCAGTGCTAGACAGTGAACTGTCAACGGGGGGAGCCCCGCCGGTCATTATCGGCCGATATTCACTCTTAATAGTTTGATCGGTGCTCTCTATAAAGGCCGATCAGGAGAGCTGGATCTGATCGATATGGACATAAACACGAGTGAAGTATGACCGGACGCGAGAGAGAGATCAGATCATCTGCTGAGTCTGACGGAGACACGCAGCTCTGCATGATCACCTGATGCTCCTTCCTCTGTTTACTAGCGAGCTGACCGGACAGGCAAAATGCGTAATTGAAGCGCTACGTCATGAACGCAAGAAATCATTCCCTCCTGGGGACGCGCTCATGTGATTGGCTTAGAATGAAGGAGACATCTGATTGGCTCTAGATAGAACAAATTACAAGTACAAATCGGCTGACCGTCAGGGGAATCTCAAAAAACACACACACGAATGCACAGCGATCCATGCACAGAAAGCGGTTTGTGTTTGCAGGTGCAGAGGTTTTAAACGGAAAACAAATATGTGTGGATCAAAAATACATATGTAAAACTTTTTTCTGTATTTGGATTTTATTTACATGTATATTAAATGGAACACATTTGTGTGTGTGTGGCATACAGAGCCATTAGTGGGTTGATATACCTACATTATTAGTAATTACATGGTTAACATGATTTGCATTTAATACAGCTCATGTTCAGAGTGTGGTGAGAATTGTCTGTGTGTTTTCTGATAAGGAATGGTTGGTTTATTGTTGGAAAAATGTAGTGTTATCTAGCAGTATGTAGTGTCTAACTCCGACCAGCAGAGGGCGCGTTCGCTACACGGTGTTGGGGACAAAGAGATGTCTCGCGTGAATACGTTCAGAGAACGTAAACATACACTTGAGTGAATTTACGGTGTGTGTGTGTGTGTGTGGCGAACTGTGATAATAATATATATATTTTGGCTCTTTGCAGGTAAGAACGGAGAGTTGGAATTGTGTAATTGATGAGTGAATATGTTATGTGTGAGTTTATGATCCCGGTTGGACTTTATGTAGTAGTGTTTATGAACGTTACTTGTTCAGCAAACGTAACGTACTGAAAATGGCTAGCCAGTAGTTCGCACTGGTGGCCTTGTTAGCTTGAGCGAGCGTGAGGCGGGAAAGTAGAACAATGAGCCGGTCTAAAGAGCCCGGACTGCTCGTGTATAGTTAATAGATAAATAAATAAGTTAAAAGAGATACATAAGTGATTTGGTTAATGTGACAATGTTAGGTAGACATGATTGGCTGACTGTGTATCGGAGCAACAAATTGATATTGAATGTACAAGATGAAACTAGTCTGGAATAGCAATGCAACAGACATGATTATTGTTTGGATGTTGATGCAGATGTTCATTTTGTTTCTGTGTTAGTATAGTAAATACGTGCAGAGAACGTAAACATACACTTGAGTGAAGTCACGGTGTGTGTGGCGAACTGTGATAATAATATATATATTTTGGCTCTTTGCAGAACAAAATAAAAGACTTTCAAATTAAATGTGTAGTGGAGGGCTACTTCACTCTGTACCACGCTACATATTTTGGTAGCAGAGGATGGTTAGATCCAGCCCCACGCCCAGCTGCATAGAAGCATAGATGGACGAGCAGAGGAGGACCATGGAGGAAGCAAGGGACGAAGTAAGCAGGATACTGCTGGCGCTGGAGGAGAGGGAGCTCATTTCCCTGTGTGAGCATCTAAAGTGTAACGCACCTGTTGGGGGGTTTGCCAGTAAAACAAGACGAACCCTCAACAGGTTGGTGGAGACGACATTAGATGACATCGAGGAGGATGAAGAGTCCGCAGAGTCGTATCAGCAGTATCTGCAGCATGTGCTGTCCTACCTGGCCTCTCTGAAGCCGACACCAGGGGAAACTGAGGCTGAGATTGTAATTCAAGAGACAAGTGAGTTAGAGAAGCTGAAAATGCAGTACCAGAAGTTACAGCAGCAGATGGAAGAGGAAATCGGGGCATTGGAGGAAAAGATCAAGCGGAAGACACAAGCAGCAGGAGGAGACACTGCACCTGCCAGCGTGACCGCAAAGGAAGAGGACACAAGGACTGCCACCACAGCACCAATCAGACTGCCCGAGGTGACGCTGAGGCGGGAGTTCCGGATAATTGGACAGATTGGTGAAGCGGGGCAAAAGGACAAATTGTCCTACACAAGCCTCATCAACCAGATCGAGTCTGGACAGCGGAAAGGACATGGAGAAGCGGAGATCATTGAAGCAGTCACACGTGCTGTGAGCCCAGGTCTTCATCTGCGGGAGATGTTGGAAATAAAGCGAGAGCTGACGCTGCACACCCTCAGGATCATACTCAAGGGTCACTACAAAGTGGACTCCTCCTCCGACCTACTGCATCGCCTGATGAACATGA